GGAGCGGCCGAATATCTTTTTTTGAACGAAAATTTTCCAATATTACTTGAGGATGTACCCCTCGCTACACGTCAGGTGATGTGGTATATGCACCATGATGGGGCGCCTGCACATAGTATACTTGCCGTTAGAGAATGGTTAAATTTAAATTATCCGATTCGCTGGATTGGTCTTGATGCCTCTGTTTGTTGGCCTGCACCTTCACCTGACCTAACGCCTATGGATTTCTTTTTGTGGGGACACATAAAAAGTATTGTTTATGCCACTCCTTGTGCCTCCTTAGAAAAACTACATTAAAGAATATTTCAGGGAGCAGATGACCTTCGCAATAACCAAGAACTGTTTGTGCGAGTGCGTTACAACTTCAACAGACGTATTAAGTTATGCTTGCAGCAAAATGGAAATTATTTCGAGAATATTCTTTATATTTAATTTTGCATTTCTTGTTTTTCGTTTGTATTAAATTTTATTTCAGATAAATAACTTTACCTAATACATGTCCCATAGTCATAAGGTATCAAACATTTTTCATTAATTAATAGCAAATTTTTCTTAATGTTATTATTAAATTACCAGTTTATTGACAGAAAGTGTCAATTTATTATTATGATAAATAACAATTTATTTGTTATGACATCCACCAACTTTATTTTTACAAATTTTCGCTTTAGTGAACGATGACGTTTCTAATTTTTTTACTAGAAAACTATCGGGTTTATAGAAAAATTACAAGAGGTAAAAAAGTTGCGCAATAAATATTTTTAAATAAATAATTTGCTTCATATAAAAAATTTGTAATAAAATATTGCAATGGGATTGACTGTTTCACTCCTTTATAAAATACGCCAATGATCGAAAAAATATTGAAAAGTTGTCTTTTTATTAGTAGGATGCTCATACCAAGTTTCGTGTCTCTAGCATTCCCCATGTTAAAGAAATAAATTAAAATGTGAATTTCAATCCCTTCCTTTAAGAGGGATATATCACCTCAGGGGTGCCACTTTCATATAAGGTATTTTTACTTCAATCCTCTTATTTTTGGTTCTACATTCACTGGTACCATTTTTGCTATTTCATTTAAAAACACCTTGTATATACATAGAATTAATATATCTACACATTTTTAATGGAATTTTTTGTTCTCTAGTCTCTACATATTATTTTTATAATCTTCGTAGACCAGAAATTCGTCGATTGTCCCTTCTGCCATTCATCTGAATATAATAAAAACCTAATCAATTTTTCAAAATTTTTAACTTAACCATACTTTCAGTGAAGCAACCACACATAAATATAGTTAAAATCATTTTAACTTCAAACGGGAATACGGTCCGATAGAAGAAAATGGGTAAGGAATCGAGTATAGGTTGAATTAACTGTAGTGCGCTACAGTCGTAGATCTGTTTTAGACAACAAACTGTTAACGAACATCTCTTTGTCGCATTGCTGGATACCTACAAAATATATATGGCTGTTAACGCTATTAAATTGTATTGGGTACACTATAAACTTAATGGACTAAAATATTTTTGTATAATTTATAAGAAAATTATTTTCAAAGTTTGATATCTCGAAAACGGTTAAGTTTAGGTACAGGGTGTCCCAAAGTTCGCGTTTCGGGCCCATAATAAACAAACGAAAATCGATAGGAAAAATCTGTTGGGATGGCGTGAATCAAGACTCGCTAATGTCCGTTTTGCAATTGAATAACATTTTTTTCAAAATTCGGAAAATAAAAAAATGACGTCAGTAACTTTTTTTTTGCCACGAACATACCCATTTTTTATGATAACTAAAATTATCTATTTTTATGAACATTTTTTGCGCAGAAATTTATCTCTTTATCTCTTCGCCTTAAAAAGTTGCAATAACAAACATAAAACATACAAAAATGTATGGGAATTAGTCATGATTTAATCAACATTGCTGTGAAAACAATGGCTGAAACTACTGTCACAAGTTTGTTTACATATTAGTTTCTGTCAAACGCTATCTCCTACATGATAAACAAACTAGTAAGTGTAGTAAATTAAAAAATGTTAACAACCAATGAAAAAATTCACGATTTTATTTTATGGTGAATGTCAAAAAAATGCCAGAAGAGTTTCTAACTTATATCATGAGAGATATCAAGAGCGTCAAGCTGTTAACCCAAAAATATTTGCTAGATTAGAAGGATTTTTGCATGCTAACAAAAATGCATTTTCATCAAGAAAAGAGAAAGTAATTTCAAAATCAGTGTGTACAATATTTTGAGAAAAATCCTAGAAATTCTATACGATAGGCCACTTTTACATTAAATTTAAAAAGAAGCTTTATGCAAAGAATTTTGCTCCAATGGTTACCGTGACTATAGCATAGGCTGAATAAATTGGAGCACTTATCTGACATATATGCTGAAAAAAGACTTAATTATGTGGCCCAAATAATGGTTAATTTGGAAATAGATAATAGACTCTTACAATATATTCTTTGGACTGATGAGAGTCCTTTTATAAGTAACGGCAAGCCAAATAAAAGAAACGAACATTACTGAGCCACTGAAAATCCACACTATGTTAATCCCATTCAAAATCAGGGCCATTATGGAATAAACGTTTGCTGTGGCATACTTTTATGAAAATTTATTGAACGATAATAGCTATTTACAGTTTTTGCAAGAGGAGCCTCCAGCACTGCTTGAACATGTGCCGCTGCAGCTCAGGTTGAATATGTGGTTGCAACACGATGGTGCTCCTCCACGTAAAGCTAAACGAGTTACAAACTATTTAAAAAATACTTTCCGAACTAAGTGGATTAGAATTAATGGGGCTTTAGAATGGGTTTCAAAGTCTGCAGACTTAACGCCCCTAGACTGTTTTTTTATGGGGAACATTAAAAAATCAAGTATATGAGACACCCACGAGAACATGGAGCATTTAAAGCAATATATTCGACATGTTTGTGAGAATCTTTCAAGAGAAACGTTGTTTAAAGCTACAAGAGAATAAGTTAGCAAAAGGTTGTTTGAAGTAGGAGGCATGCATATCGAAATTTTTTTAAAGTAATTATCATAATTTTATATTTTGTTTTGTGTTTACTTATTAGTTATTGTTATATTTATTAGTTACAATTAAAATTGTTTAATATTTTATATATTTGGTTATCCTATTTAACCGTCATTAAGCGTACCTATTGTTCTATTTTTCTTCATGGAGTGACCTTTTTTTAAGAAAAACATAGCAACTAATATGTAAACAAAGTGACAGGAGTTACAGCGATTGTTTTTGCCAATAAAGTTGATTAAGTCATGACTAATTCCAATAAAATGGGACACATTTCTGTATAATGTTTGTTATTGTAACTTTTTAAGGAGAAGAGATAGAGAGAACAGTTCACACAAACAATGTTTATAAAAAAATAGATAATTTCAGTTATCATAAATAATGGGTATCTTCCTGCAAAAAAGTTTTATTTTCAGAATTCTGGAAAAAAATGTTTTTCAATTACAAAACGGACCTTAGCTAGTCTGTATTCACGCCATCTAAATAGATTTTTACTGTCGTTTTTCGTTTGTTTGTTATGGGCCCGAGACTCGAACTTTGGGACACCCTGTACATGATGTGCTATATGAATTTTGTTTAGAATTTCGAGAATAATTGAAATATGGGTATACAGGGTATTCCATTAAAAAAAGGCAACTTTGCTTCGTCATGACTTTTTGACTGATCCTGTATACTTAATTTTTATTTATTGTCTTAGATTTCAGAAACCCTAAAACGTTTGTGTCTTATGATTTTTCGATAGCTATCTTACTTTAGCAGATAATCTACCCATACATATCAGCGACCCTGCATTTATTTTGGAAATACATTCCATTTATTTCGCATATTTTAGATTGGCTGTGACAGGTAAGTAACAATCAATATGACAACTGTCACAGGTTTTTAATTGTCAAATTTATTTAATTCCTTGAGGGTCGCTACTTTAAGGCCCGGTACTTTAAGGCTCGATTAACTAATCAGATGAGACTGTGATTATACTTATATCATTATACGTACAGTCTAATCGCCTGATCAGTTAATCTTTAAACGAGACCGGTAACAACAAAGGAAAATTGTATGCATAGAGTAAGGCAAGCCTTTGAGTATCTATCACCGGATAGGATTCTATTAGATCAGCGACCCACAAGGAACTAATCCGTCTTGAAGTTTATTAAAATAAATTTGACAATTAAAAACCTGTGACAGTTGTCATGTTGATTTTTGCTTACCTGTCACAGTCAACCTAAAATGTGCGAAATAAATGGAAACATCATTTTAAGAAAAGGGAAATGTTTATTCGAAAATAAAATGGAAACCACTGGGTTTAGGTATAGGGAAACTTTAACAAAGTTACACTTAATTTTAGTGCAGAATGCGAATACGTTAAAAAAATAGGGGTTTCCATTTAAAAATTTCGAGTTTTCCACATCTTCATATTCGATCAATTTTTTTTGACCACCCTGTATAAAAACTGGAAAATTTTCATGTCAAATTCGATAAATTAAGTCTCTACAAAATGTCCAATTTTCACAAAAAATAAACCTATGTGTCGAAATACTAAATTTTGTTGACAATCTACATCTGTCAATTTTTGCTTAAAAATTAAAATATCTCGGAAACGGTCAGTCCTAACTATGTAGTGTGCCATGCCATGTGTTTTCAACTTAAAAATAGATGCTCTTTCCAAAAATGCAATAATATACAGGGGGTTCCATTTAAAATAAGAAAGTTAGTATCGACTTCCGGTATAACCGGAAGTACCATGACCTTGAAAATATTTTAGCTTGATAGGCCCCACGGTCCGTATCACACCATCACAATTTCAAAAAATCCTTCGAGCGGTTTCCCAGATATCCACCGATGTAGTTCGTGGTGGGACACCCTGTATATGAAATAGAAGGAAAACAATAAAGCTTCATAAAACATTTGTTTATAAATAATAATCGTGCGGATATTCTTTACGTTTTATTTTTTCAGGGACCTACTTTATCAGCGATATAAACATTTGCATTAATAAACGATAAGAGATAAAGTCAGATAACGGAATAATTCGAGGGAAGGTACTCCTTTTCCACGATCATAATATTTTGATATAATTGTGTCTAAAAGTGTCAATATGAATTTTTTCGACAACTGTCGTCGAGACGTAAGTCAATTTTTTTTAATATCAGTGTTATCGGCACCACTAACAGCTACGCTTCAGTATTTGCTTTAGGTGTCAACTTGGCTTATAATTGCTTTATAATTTATTTGTTCGTTGTTTTGTTATTGCGAAAAATGTGCGAAGATAAAAAAAATAAGCGGAAAATTCTGTTTATTTTTAAACACCATACTTGTCAAATAAAGTTAAAAAAAAAACAAATATGTTTTTATTTTTCAAGTCGAGTATCTATAACCGTTTTACTTAAGGGTTATTTCGAGCGTTTCCGAAATATTACATTTTATTCCGTTCATGTGAGGTAAATTTCCAGTAAAATCACCGAATAAACATTGACTTTAATAATTTGTCTGTTTAAAGTTAAATAAAATGAATGGGTTCAATTGTTTGTAAAAAAATTATCTCGTAAATGATTAAGATGGCTTAGGAACAGTGTAATTAAAGTCTATACAAGGTAATCCAAATTAGTCCAGAGGTTTTGAGATGACAGTAATTCCGAAGTGCACAATTTTTTGCATATGACAAGTATTTTGCTAGTAGGTGAGGAAAAAATTCGGGAAATGGCCGGAAAACTGCAAAAAAATTATTTCGTGAATAACTTGAAAAGTATTGAGAATTTCAGAAACATGCAAAGGATCAAAGTTGTAGAGCATAAAATTTCTACAAAAAGTTAGCTATTAATTTTTTCGTATACTGCGTTATTTAAGAGATTTAGGGATAAAGTGACGTTTCTTATGCAGATCAGCCAGAAAAACACGTAGGTATGTCAATGCGGCGCTAGACTAAATGCGCTACTACTCTTTCGTTTCAAGATGAAAATCCATGGAACAAAGTTTGTTTGTTTGTTGTTGTTTTCAAACTTTCCTATGTGCTATTTTACAGGAAAATATAATTCCTTCCTTAGGAAAACTGTGTGGGTATAGTTGACAGTCGAACTTTACGTGTTTTTACAAAGTTAATGGGACAACCAATCAACTAAAGCAAAATGGGCAAATGTTTACCAATATAAAACCAACCAAAATGCGATATACAGGCAGTTACAATTTCGCTTCTCACTACAGGGATCTCAAAAACAGTAAGAGATACGAATTAGCTTAAAAGTTGTGTAATCAGGGGACCAACATTATGCCTCTAAAAAATTGAGGCTAACATGATTAGTTTTCGAAATATTTGAAAAAAAAACGAAATGTCGGAAATCCGTTTTTGTTTCATTTCAGCCTTGTTTGAGGTGATATTGAAAAAAGAAGATCACTTTCTCATGGCCTCTCTAGGACCATCATCAACTTCATTTTTTTAAATACGTCCCTGGAAATTTTATTACTTTTTTTGTAAGCCTTCATAACCCCCAATACTGTACTGCCTCAGCCCGAACCAGATTCAGAGGTTTTGTCTCGAAAAAATCTTCAGTGTGTTCGTCCCAAATGTATGTAAATTTTTTATTTAGATTTCTATGTTTATTAAATTTTCGTAAACTCTAAGTGTCGTTAGATCCTGTGAAATCCATCTAGTTATTTAAACTATTACCACCACGCATTAAAATAAAAAATTATTAGAGTTTTATTCCCGTGCCCATAATTATTTCTAGACTTCTCGAGTGCTCAAAATTCAAACAAATTCTGATCTATATTTTTTCAGGATATTCATACAAATACATCTGACATGTTCTTTCACAGTTGCAGTTACAGGTATAATAAATTCCGATAATATTACGCGGATCTTCATTTTCAACCTTTGCCAAAACGAAAATGTTTTTGAACATTTACTGAAATTTTTTAAAGAATAATATTCAGTTGGAATTTTGATTGTTCATATGCATTTTTAAGAATTAATTTGCCATAATAAAATTAAAATTGCAATTTTAATTTTGACGCAACAACTTATCGAGTTATGTATGACCAAGTGATAGTAATAGTTAATAATAATAAATGTTTTATTAAATTTAGATAAATTTGGAACGAATACACTGAAGATGAATTTTTCGAGACAAAACGTCTGAATCTGGTTCGGGCTGAGGCAGTACAGTATCGGAGGTCATGAAAGCTTGCAAAAAATGTCATAAAAGACGAAACGTTACATATAAAAATTGATTATGCTATTCGATAGAGGGCAAAAAGTGGTCATGAGAAAGTGTTCTTCTTTATTCAATATCACCTCAAACAAGACTGAAATGAAACAAAAACGGATTTTCAAAATTTGTTTTTTTTTCCAAATATTTCGAAAACTAATCATGTTAGCCTTGATTTGGTCCCCTGATTACGCAACTTTGCCCCCATTTAAGCTAGTTCGTATCTCTTACCGTTTTCTTTAATTAATCCGTTATTCTTACCGATTATGGCAAAATTTTGCATATGATTTATTTCATTCATATTTTTAGGTTATAAGCACTGGCTCCACTTTTTTTTCTTCCAGCGCGGAGAAAATATCTAAGTATTGTGTCGCAGTATATACCAGGAGGGGCATTTATCTTGAGACAAAATAATATCTCGGTTGGACTCGATTATTTCGAAAAAAGTTTCACAAATTATAGGGCACCGGGGGGGGGGGGTGGTGGTGGTGGTGGTGGTGGTGGTGGTGGTGGTGGTGGTGGTGGGGGGGGGGGGGGTGGGGGGGGGGGTGGTGGTGGTGGTGGCATTGAATGATGTTTTACACCGGAAATTGATTTTTTTAAACGGATTTCGATTGAAAAACGAAAAAAACTTTGTTCTTATTACTTTTTAGATTTAAACCATATGTTGACCATAAAAAACAAAAATAAAACAAGAATCTTGAGACAATGAAGTGCCTTTTTTTTAAATATATAAAAGTTGTAGGGCGAAAAGGGGGCTATCTTAACATGACCTTGAACTTGACTTCGAGATCGTTTGAAGATCAAATACACACTTCAGTCTTCAACAAATCATAAAAGTCTGCAGAAATCTGAAGAAATTCTTCATTTCACCGAAAACTAGCACCCCGAAGGAAATAAAAAACTATTACGTCCATGTCGTTATTCCTGGGTAGTGCTAAAAGTAGTTAATAACACAGCCACACACAAAAAAAGTTGTCTGTAATTTTCATGCTTTTGCCTCCTGATCACAAGTCCGGTGTCAGAATTGAGCTATCACATCACAGGAATTTCCTAACCTCAAAAAACAGTAAAAATTTGCGAAAAAGTGCTAGGAAAAATAAACAATTTGTTTTTCTATATTCAAATGTTCATTTATATGGTTAAGACACCGCCGAACATGAATCCGCGGTCAGAATTGATGGTTCTTTTTCTAAATTCAAAAAGCGGATCAATTAAGTTCAGATATCACGAATTTTCAGAAAGAACAAATTCGCGCCAAATTTGGTATACGGGGGTTTTCGGGGTCGCTGATCACGGATCCGAGATCAATTTTGTAAATTTCAAGATGGCGGATCCAACATGGCCGACCAAATTTTCAAAATATAGCAGATTCGCGCTAAATTTTTATTCCCGAATTTTCTTTGTCCGCTCCCGCACAGAACAATTCTTTTCTCTTATTTACTAGCAAAATACTAGTAATGTACAAAAAATTGTGCACTTCGAAATTAATGCCATCTTTAAATAAGTACAATTTTGACTAGGGCGATTGGACTAAATGTGTATAGGGTACTATAAATAACTACGTATTTTTTTTACCTCATTCATACGGTATGTTATCTTCCTGCTTCGACTTTGACACTATTCTCTTTTGATTATTTGTTTGCGATTTAACTGTAGGTATACTAACCAAAAAAATAAAACGCCTACGTATAAAATTATCAAGTTTTTGGATTTGTTTCAAATCTGGGCGAAAACACATTTTTTTATTTACAATAAAAAAAATATTAAGCTATAATCTCCTCAGATGTGGCTTACATTTATTTTTTTCTGTAAAGTTTGATAGGAAACAGACGAAAATAGGATCTGTGTTATGTTAGGATAGACATAATAACTTGGATATGAGCGTACTTTAATATTAAGTAAATGTTTATATAAGGCGGTTAAAAATAATTTTATGCGCAAACACTGGTTACCAGTTTACATTTAATGGCTACCACTTGAAATATTTCAATCGGGATTTTTCAATAACAAAAGTGACGCTCTATATGTTTTTTTACATAACATAGAGATACTACGCCTATTCTATCAATAGCGGTTTTGCTGAAAAGAACAGATTTGTTTTTTCCTTACTAATTGTAAATAAAGCTGGGTAATATAGGGTGTTCTACAAGATCTATGACAAACTTTGACAGATGGTAGGTTAATTTCAAAATTTTTTTCTTATATGAATATAGGTACGATTCGTTTTTGTTTAGAAGCATTTTAAAAAATATAATTTCATATTTCAGTCAAAGTAGCCTGATAAATAAAAATGATGGTTATGTAATAAATAAATAATTATTATTTGTAACATTTTGTTTATTCATTTGACACACACATTCGAGCCGAGGGTGGACATTTTGAACAATTTTTGCAGTCTTAGGATTTATTAATTTGTTTAATAAAGGTTAAACTTTAAACACAAATAGGTAATAATAATTATTGTTATAGCAACCATTATTTTTATTTAACAGACTACTTTGAAATATGAAATTATATATTTTTTAAATGCTTGTACCACCTGTAAAGTTTGTATATGATATACCTCAGGGATCTATATTTCGACCCCTATATTGTTTTTTACGAAATCTTAGAACCTCAATATTGCCTGCTTTAACAACTTGTGAATTATAGAAAAATTTTTTCTATAATTCTTAGTTTTTTTTTTCAAATTCCGTCGTGAAAACTCGTCTTGTCATATCACATCAGGTGTATTGATGTAATGTGGTACACGGTACTCCTAAACTAGCAAAGAGGTTATGGACACAGATTCATGAACTAAACACAGTACTTTAAAAAATAGTAACGCATACGTTTTATTAGAAAGTAATTAGTAAGTAATTTTATTTATTTTTTATTTTGTACATTTTATTAAACAGCAAAAATAACTGTTTTAAAACATAAATTATAACCAATTATTCCAATTTTTTATACAAATGGTTTAAAAAGGTAGGTAACGGCAAGTAACACTGATAAGCGCACACTTTCAATTGAGGTCAGGAGCTGCCAGTGGCAGCGTAGACAAGAGTTTAATTACATTTTAAACGAATTTTTTTCTGTATTTAATTAATAAACAAAGTGTTTAGTATTGTGGAGAACAAGTTATTTTGTGTAAAAAAGATGTGATTAATCCTTAAAATAACCTGAAAATTTGAATCTAAACTCCACACATTTTTTATGTAAACCTATAATAAATTCTTTTATAAAGACGTTTTATAAAGACGTATCGAGACGTATAAAAGCTGTAAAATCTAATTTTTATGTATCAACTCTATACGCTGAGCTTGGAAAAGGAGATTCGGTTTTAACAAAGACGCGAGTATATTTACCCCGAAAGAGATGTTCATAAAGTGTGAACCGAGAAATTTCTCGACAGTGTTGTTGTTTTGCGCCACCCCTCTTAATCTACCTGACATGTTTACGAACATATACGGTAATTGCTTCTTGTAAGATACTAGTACATTAATTGATTTTGATGCAATAACACACGCCACGCTATGCAACAAGTCAGTGTGAAGAAATACTGTAGCAAGTTTGTCAGTTGAACGTATATTTTCATTTTCAGATGACCAGATACACCAACGCGGACTTTGCCGATGATGACAGTGTTAACAGCGTCACCCTAAACGAAAGTAAGTTGTACTTTTTGAAAGAGATGTTCAGCCACCCCAAGAAAAGTTATTTTAGTCGGCTTTGATATAAACGAATTGGAAAAATGTGCATCAATTTTCTTTAAATATTCACCTGTTTTCCCTTTTAACGTGAATTTACTATAATATACTAGGTTGTTTGTTGGAAATAATCTAAAACAATGGATGACGTCAATATAAATAATATTTTCTTTTGGGACTGTATTGAAGGCTCCATTGCTTACAAATTGTAAGGCGGCCTTCACTACAGGCCGGAAAATAATAATAACTACATCAAGCTTAAAATTGACTCGCATTTATTTAAAGCAATAATTCTTCTTTGTCAAGTAATACATGTAAATGCTTGAGATAATTTATTAAAGTATTAATAAAGAAAAACCTACAGAGGAACTTGATTAAATGATTCACAGTTACATAAAATGACACTAGATTGTTAACATTGTATAACTGAAATAAAAAATATAATATTAATGCTCATTGTTTGTTTTAGGAATCAGTACAAGTGCAACCCACATAAGGTACCATGCGGGTAGCACCATGTGGAAGCCCAGATCCCCTCTAGAGAAAGCGTTACTTCTGTTGGTAGCTGTTTTATTATTCGTGATATTCACGTTGGCTGCTATACTGCATATAGCAGAGCACAAACTCCAAGATGCGAAGGTAAGAAAACGGAAAATATTATAATGTATGTATGTATGTGTCTTATATTCATTTTAAGTCTATTTTCTGTTGCTCGTAAAAGAAGTCTTATCTATAACTTCACAATAATTTATCAGCAGTCGTAGAAACTGATTGTTTAATATCATTGAAATTTTTTTTCACGTGTAAACACTAGGTAGATTTTGTCAAAAAAATTATTGCAGTTTGCTTCCAAAAAATTATCGACAGTAGTCCTGTCTTTGAGGAGAATCTGCTATTAGTAATTCCTTTAATCGAATTATCAACAACATATGTATGTCTGGTTTTCTACCTATGCAGGAATTTATTGTTGTGGTTTTCACACAGGGTGGGGAATGACACTCCAGTATCAAAAACACGCAATTTGTGGAGAGAGCGCAATTAGGGAAACGGTAAAAACAACAAAAATTGGCTGATGATTGAATGTTGTTGATAATGACAGAGAGGGCTATGTTGCCGACTCGTACTTGAAACTGGAGTTGCACATAGTTAGAAACACCACAAATGATTGCTATTTTCCTTTTTTTTTTTTAATATGGTAAATTATTGTGACTATTAAAAGCAAACAGCTGTAATTTCTTTCATTTTGCAAACTTTTGATTTCAGACTACAAATTCCATATAAACTATGTTTAATCAAGTTTAGGATCCATATTGTATAAACCTTTTTGTTTGTGTTTTTTTTATCTATACCGAATAAATGACCAAAATTGACTTCTAGCTTCAATAATGGATCCACTGTGTTTGATGTGGCGCAACTGGCAACTCTCATTATTTAATAAACGACAAATGGCTCTTTTATGCACAAATAAACATATTTTTAGGTTATCCAAGTGGAGACGGATTTCTCTAAGCCTTGCCTCAACGCGAGCTGCGTGCATATAGCCAGTAACATCCTGGAGGCCATGGACTCCTCCTTCGATCCTTGCGAAGACTTCTACTCCTATTCCTGTAATGGTTGGGTGAAAGCAAACCCTATACCTGATGGTAAAAGCACCTGGGGCACCTTCCAGAAGTTAGAACAGCAGAACCAACTGGTGATCAAGCACGTTTTAGGTAAGAATACAAGTCTTAGATTGATCACGGCGGAATTAAAAGCCTTTTCTTTCATTTTACAGAGCAACCAATGGAAACGTTGAAGTCCAAGGCCGAGCAGAAGGCTAAGATGTACTACGAGTCTTGCTTGGACACTAACGACACCGTAGAGACTCTCGGAAATAAACCGATGCTGGATCTGTTGAGGAGGATCGGTGGTTGGAACGTCACGGACAGCGGTTTTAACATACTCACTTGGACTCTGCAGAATATCACCCAGACTGTACAAAACAAGTATAACATTGGTACATTTTTTTTAGTGAAATCAAGAGCAGGGTCTTATATTTTCTGTTCTTAGGTGCCCTTTTCTCTTACGCCGTCAACGAAGACGACAGAAACTCCTCCCGTCACATATTGCAGATAGACCAGAGCGGTCTTACTTTACCGACCAGAGAAAATTATTTGAATAAAACCGAACAGCATGAGAAGGTGCTGAAGGCTTACTTGGAGTACATGACAAAGGTAAAAATAGCACCCAATTGGTAACAGAACTGTATCTTTGTTTGTATTTAGGTCGGGGTTCTGTTGAACGGTGAGGAGAACTCTACCAGAGCCCAAATGAAGGCTGTGATAGAATTCGAGACTAAGCTGGCCAATATCACGACACCCAGCGAGTTGAGGAGGGACGAGGAGTCCATTTACAACCTGATGACTATAGCCGAGTTGCAAGATAGGGCACCATTTGTAAGTAGAGTATAAAAAGTTTGATATCATTATTACCTGTGACAAAAAAGCAATCGTGTATTCAACAGCAATTGATTAATTTACTCTTCGGCCTGTGTCAAAGGCTGCCTTGTAGAAATTTTGTAAAGGCGGCCTTTAATACAGGCCAAGAAGTAGAATTCATTTTCTTTTGAAAATTTTGTTGAATTGGATGAAAAGTTTTCATCGATTCAGTCAATTTGGTTGTCATTAGCTATAAAATTTAAGTTAAATATTCAAATAATTTTTTACTGATTTCTTATTTGTTATTTACTGTTTCAGAATATTTGTTCCACATTTTTTATTATAGACTTAATTAAAATATTTTACATGTATTTCAGCATTTTTTGACTTTCTATCAATTTACAAAAAAAGATGCAAAATATTATGATGTAGATTGTTTAAATTTATTTATTAGATTTGTACATTTCATGTTAATTTTTGACATGCACAATGTTATGGTTTTGATATGCAAGCAGTTTTGTTTATGATGCGACAATAAAATATGTTATGTGCCTTTCATTGTGAATAAATCTTGCGTATTTACACTTTAACAATTTGCTGCTATTTTTGATCATGTTGATACTGTCATCTAGAATGCAGAATAAGACACTATAGTAGGATCGTATTCGATCCAAAGTAGAGCAAAAAGTTGTCGGTCTTTTATCAAAGGAAAATCGTGTCATCACTTTTAGGAGGCGTAAGATGAACCATTTCAAATTTAAAATGAAATTGAATGGAAAATCTGAAATACCGCTGCATACGCACTATGTTCTCGTAGTAGTCGTAGTCGCCTAGGTGCATCGAGTGTACGAAGTGGTCAATTATACGTCAAATACTAACCTGGCGAGCTTGGTCGTAAATCAGAGAGCACCTTCAAAAACCAAGTAAAGAAAGTGGCGTGTACAAAGGAAAAATGTAGTACATGTGTGGAACTTAAAAAACAAATTAGATTTATAATAAATTATATTTAAAATAAATAGTTTATGAGAATAAAGGAATTTTTGTAGGAACAAGGGTGTCAGACGTGAACTGATCCCTGCGTCCCTTCATAATGTATAAAAAAGTTATTCAGTTTCTAAAACCTTTAAAATCGTATTGCACTGGATCCCTTAACAGGCAATTATTTATTGCTTTGCATTGAATATGATCCTACTATAACTATACAATTGCCAATCACTAATATAATTTTAAGAAATTCCAATGAATTACTATAAAAAAAATATATGTTATTTAAGTTTTATTTTTTAATATTTTATATTTTTATAACATATTACATAGAATTTCACCACCTAAGGACACGACCTTATTAAAATTTAGTTAATTATGAAATTATATTTAACTCTTCGGCCTGTATCGAAGGCTGCCTTGCACACATTTTCTCAATGTGGACTTTAGTACAGGCCGAGAAGTAAAATTAATTCTGTTTCGAAAATTTTGTGGTGACTGGACTGAACAAAACATTGTTATCAAGAGCATTTTGAATTATGTCATTATATTCATTATAATATTGAAGTTAAATATTGGTCTAAGAATATTTTGCTTATTCTGGTAAAAACTTATTCGTTGGCAATGAATTAACAGTTACAGAATAGGATAGTTTCTCACTTTTTATTATAACATTTTTCAAAAGATTTTTTTAAAATATTTTGCACATACTTTAGCATTCTTTGATTTTTTGTCGTTTTGAGGAAAAAAAGGTATATGGTATTATAGTGACATAGATTGCTGAAATTTACTTATTAGATTATATAGCAAAATGTTATGGTTCTGATACACAGAGAATTTTGTACATGATTCGACAATAGAATGAGATATTCGCGTTGACGTTTCATTGCGATTAAATCCAGTGTACTGTAGATATATACTTTAGCAATTAGCTATTGCGATAGGCCGTTGTTGGTACTGCCGTTTAGAAAGTAAAGTAAGGCATTAATTACTTGATTGCCTACAAACTTGAAAATTTTACATCTGCCACACCACAGGATAAACAAACAAAAATGGTTGTTTTTTTATTGACTTCATTTTAAATGTATTTTATATTTAACTATTAAAATGGAAACACACCATCGATTTATATTTACTCTTCGTTCTGTATTAAAGGCTGCCTGTAAAAATTGTATCAAGGTGGTCTTCATACAGGCCGAGAAGTAAAGTTTTGAAAATTTTGTAACTCGAATTAAACTGAAATGTTTTTATCAAAAATATTTTAAAATTATCTTATATTGAACCATTCATAAAACTGAAGTTAAAGTTACTCGAACGTTGCCTCGTTACACTGTCAAATGTTCAAAATTTTAATAATTTTTTACACAATAATTGCTACATAGATAATTTATTAATTTATTTAAAAAATCGTTCCTCAGATAGACTGGCGCAAGTTCTTCGAAGACGCCATGAGGATAGTTAACAAAAAAATCACAAGCAAGGAACAGATTGTGGTTTACGCCCCTGAATACCTCGGAAACCTAACCGAGCTAATCAAGGAATACAACAGCACCTCTGAGGGCAAAATGTAAGTTGTTATTTTGCAAACCCGGAACGTTAATTGTTTTTTTGGTGTTGACAGGTCAGTTCTATGTGAGTTACTCATATTAGTATAAAAAAAGTCAGTCTAATCTCATAATATTCTATTTTTTAGAATTTCACAAGATTAGACTATTTTTTTGATTCTAATAATTGGTTTTTTTTAGTGATGTAAAATAGCATGCTATTTAGTTTTGGGTGATATATATCAAAATATATATCATTATATATATCAGATGAATTTTGTTAAAAAAAAACTATATTCAAATTAGTTTTTTTATATTGCTAATGCCTTGCTGATTAATTTGACACCAAATACATGTCATATATATGAACTTTAAGAAAAGTTATCAAGTGATCTTTATTTTTTTTCATATTTAGATTGGAA